CCAGATGCCCCTAAGTAGATGAATGGATCAAGAAAATGTGGTATATATACACAGTGGAATTCTATGCCTCCATCAGAAAGAATGACATTGCCCCATTTGTGAGGAAATGGAAAGACTTGGAAAAAATTATATTAAGTGAAATAAGCCAAGCCAAAAGAAACATAGGTCCCATGGTTTCCCTTATTTGCAATATCTAGTATATATATGAGTCAAGCAGAAAAGGTCAGATAAGGTGAGGTTAGGAAAATGAACCCTAAGATATGTATTTTAATGTTTTTTTTTCCTTTCATGCAGTTGTTTCTAAAGCATAAGATTATTTCTTTGTTGCTTTGTATGTCCTTCCCCCACAGTATAACCCCTGCTTTCACTGTATTTGATGTCGGTATAATTTGTGGAGGGGAAGGGGAAAAACAAGTCGTTTAAATAAGGATACAGGTGGACCCGTTGCAACAATGAGAAGTACAAGTTGTCATGTTGAAAATGAAATTTACAACTTTGGTGGGGGTGTGGGGAGGATTGGGTGTGGGGGCTGGGGGAAGCTGGGAAGGGATAGGAAGGGTAAACAAAGGAGGAGGCTACAATGCTTGACAAGAAATGTACTCATTATCTTGCCCATGTAATTGTAACCCCTCTGTACAGTATTTTCACAATAAAAAAGAAAAAGAGCCCTGTCTTTAAATACTGCTAAAGGTTGGCCCCAGAACTTAGACCTTGGACTTCTCTCTCTTTCCACTCATTTTTAAAGAGTGCTTCTATGACCTTAAAAACTTCCTTTATATTGATGGCTCCTGTTCCCATCCTTGATTATACTTTAGATTCATTTCTAATTGTCTACTTGATTTTTCCACTTGCATTTCCATAAACACCTTAAATTTAACTTAAGCAAAACCAAGCTCTTGATTACCCATAATCTAAATTTGCTTCTCTAGCATTATTTATATCAGTACCTGGTTGCTCAGGCCAAACACTGTATTTCTCTTACGTGCCACTTCCAAGTTTTAGATTAAGTGCTACTGGATATTGTATAGCTCAAGTCTGTCTGCAAATATTTGTCTTCTCTTGTGAGGACCTCAAAAGAGCCTCCTATGCTTCCCCTTTTGCCCTTTCTCCCTTTAAAATGCAGATTGTCATTTCATCCAGCATAAAGCTCAATTGCTCCCCATCAGCAGGGTCCTGGAAAGACTCACCCTTGACTCCTTCTGGCCTTCACCCTCTGTGAACATCCTTGAACTCTCTTCCCTCCAGCTGTACTGGCCCAGCTTTGCTTAAGTCATCCCGGGCCCAATCCAACCCGAAAGAATATGCATTTGCTGTTCTCTCTGCTTCAGATTTCCTTTCCTCAGATGTTTATGTGGTGTACCACTTCTCTTTATTTGCTCAGGTCCCATTTTCTCAAAGAGGCATTTTGATATATTAGTCATCCTGCCTAAAATAGCATCCTCCTAAAATCTCTATCTTACTGTTTGTTTCCTCTATAATTTTTACTTCTATTTAACATTTTATTTTGTTGCTATTTATTTATTTATTGTCAATTGTGGGGCTTGAACTCAGGGCCTGAGTCCTATCCCTAACCTTTTTTGCTCAAGGCTCATGCTCTGTTACTTTGAGCTACAGCTCCACCTCTGGTTTTCTGGTGGTTAATTGGAGATAAGAATCTCACAGACTTTCTTGTCTGGGCTGGCTTTGATCTGTGATCCTCAGATCTCATCCTCTGGAGTAGCTAGGATTACAGGTGTGAGCCACCAGGACCCAGCCCCTATTTGACACTTTAATTGGCTAATATCCTTGTTCAAATGCAAGCTCCATGAAGATTGAGAGGCCAGAGACACTCTTGCATTGTTCCCTGCTGTATCTTTATAATCAGAACAGTGAGATGAATGATGGAGTGAATGCCAGTGAATGGATGAGAAATGTTTTGGATGGGGCTGATAAGGTGGCTCAGTGGTAGAGCGCTTGCCTTGCATGCATGAGGCCACCCTGGGTTTGATTCCTCAGCACTACATAAGCAAAAAGAAAAAAAGCTGGAAGTGGTGCTGTGGCTCAAGTGGTAGAGCGCTAGCATTGAGCTGAAGAGCTGAGGGACAGCGCCCAGGCCCCCCCCCCAAAAAAAAATGTTTTGGAGCACAGGCTCCATGGTACTCAAGTCACTGCTCCTACTTCCCTTGATGGGCAGAATGCACATTTCCACTGCTCATGACTCCCTTCTGTTAAATAGTATTAATTTCATTTTCACCTGCTCCCTCAGGCTGCACTTTCCTTCTTCATTCCACAAAAATAGCCTTTTAGAACTAATTTTAAAACATAACACGTGCTGACAAACAGGGTAGTTTCTGTTAGGAGATGAGGGTTCTTTTGTGATATTGGTTACAACTCAACTGGAGCCCTGATGTTCTATGTCTAACACTGGATCTAACCTAAGTAGATGAGGATATACGTTGTCATTGTTTGCTGTAGCAGGGGATCTTGAGAGGCTGGGCAAGTGCTCTGCAACCGAGCTACATCCCAGCCCCAGGCAGAGTACTGTGAGCACACATCCTAGGAGGAATGGTAGAACGACAGTCATTTCGAACACTGTGTGACAAGCATTACTTAATGCTGTTTGCAAAACACTAATCCTGGTCCTATGAAGTTTATAACTATCATGTCTATTTTCAGAAGAGGAAATGACGGTTCAGAGAGGTTAAATAAACCCCCTCAGGGTCACACAGTAGTAAGAGATAGGGCCAATGTGGATTTCAGTTCATGCTCTTAACCATCTTTGAATATTTGAAGAGCCACTACTGAAAGCAGGCTAGAGTGGAAGTTCTTAGAAGTCAGGTTTAGCCTTAGCCAAACATTCCAGAGTTACGACCTCTCAGTCTTCTCAGTACACTGAGAATGTAGCCTCTAACAGGACCAGTAACAGAACTACCTCAGACTTACTTGCTTCTATGTCTACTAATAACCTATATTTATTCTATTTTAAGGATTACATTTGATACATTTTTGAGCCATTTATTTTAGACCAACACTCATTTTGTTGTTGTTGTTGAATGAAAAATGAATGCTATTTAAATTGATTAATTTTTGAGCCATTTATTTTATCACAACATTCATTTTAAATGCTATTTAAATTGAGGAAAAGAGAAAAAATTAAAAATTGATTCTAACGGTCTCATCTTGGAAAAGCTTTCCCGTGGGGCAATCGGCCTGATCACTGGCAGTGCTCGTCTGCTGTGCCCTTGAAGGAGTATTGTAGAAGGAAAATGCCCCACATTTCCTAATCCTATGATGACTTTGTTAGGATGCCTTCTGTAAACACGTGTTGAGCACCTACTCTGTGTCTGGCATTTTTCAAAGCACTGAAGATGAAAAGATAATGCAGCTTAATCAATGTCTTAATCAAAGGAACTATTATCAACTAAGAAAAGAAGCAATTAAGAGTATAGCTGTAAAATTCAGTAGATAAACAGAAAAAGACTTTCGAGAGATTTGAACAAAATAGAAAGGGTAGAAAATGAAGACAACTAGGCTTCATGAAAGGTGAGCATAGAATCTTTCCTGTCTGAGAAGGGAGAACTTTTAAGTGTGAAGACCATATGCTATGGTGCTGGCAGGGAATTCCCACTAGAATAGTATATTAGCATTTGCCTTCAAGATAAGATTCAGGGCTGGATGTAACTCAGTAGTGTAATTAATTTGTAAAGTATTTTGACATTCCTAGAACAAATACATCTTGTCTTACTTTAGTCTCCAGAACTCATAAAGATGACGAAGTCTCCTTCCTCCCTGTCTCCACTTCATAGGCCAGTAAATGCACTGACTTGGAATGAATGAATCCATTAAACTAAGTAAAAGTAAGGTTCTGTGGATTAGGACAAGGACTCATGTAGTATAGACAAAGGGATCTTTCTGTTTCTTTGCTTCATGTGCCTGGAATCTCTTGGATGGTGGGGGAATAGGGGCCCTTCATTCTAGGACTTTGGTCCCTATATAAGCTTATCTTTCACAGATGTCAAATGTGTTTGAATGAAATCACTGTCTCTAGCTGGGACTTGATGCCCAGGTGGGTGGGGATTTCCCCTGTTTTGTTTAAATCATAGTTGTCTTTGGGTTTGGCTAGCATGTGCATGATTAGTTTACTGACAATTGGTTTGTTCCTTCTTATACCATATGTTATTCCATGATTCATCAGCTTTGAGTCTGTTGCCTTGAAGGTGAAACAATTTCTTCCAATGTTGATATTTCAAAATCTCGTAGATAACAAGCACACACATATGCAGAGTCCTTGCAGAAGTTTTAAACATTTGGAGATGAATGAATTATGCTGCTACAAATGGAAAGGAGCAATGACAAATTGTAATGGTGGTATCCAGTCATCCTTTGTTGGGTGGCTGCTTGAATGCTGATATTGATAAAGCCTGGATGCTTATCTTTCCTTGTGACATTGCTTATGGTTGTGTTGTTTATGAATTTAAAGTGTTTTTACTTAATTGCCTTAATTTACATGTATTTTAATATTTTTAGACTGACATGATCTTTAGTTTTGGAAGTAGGGCTTAAATTCCATTTATATAACATTATCTGTTTATATTCTAATGGTGGTTTCTCTTCTGTATGTAATGTATAGCAATGATTATTCAAGCCTCTAGAAATGTTCTTTTAGCTTCGGATACAAATAATAATCTCTGAAAATATTTTAATAGAGCACATTTTCTGAATGCAAAACAAAGCAGTCATTTCTGCCTAGGCACTTTCTAAGTATTTAGAAGATTAAGTTTCTAACAAACACACATTAAATTAGCTTTCTGCATACAGCTCTAATCGATGCTCTTAGGACATGGCATCATTTAGCCACCTGTCTCTTTTTAATCATGGTGTTTTTCAGTGGAGTGAAGCTTTATAATTTCATGGTGTAAATACATGTATAAATATTTGTCTACATTTGTACATTTGGAGAAATTTTTAAGAGATTCTAATTTTCCACATCTTCCTCTCCCCTCTTCTTTACCTGGTTTTAGCTCCTCTTTGGTTCAGGTGTGCTTGTGTCCCTAAGCCTTTCTGGGCCGCAGCTGGAGAAAGTGGTGATTGATAGAAGCTTGGTGGGGAAGCTCGGCTCAGACACCATCAGCGATGGTAATTACCCCCATGTGCAAATCAATTGCCTACATTAACAGTGGGGCAGGAGAAATAGTGTGTCAACAGGTAGACTAATTATTAACACTAGGGACTTGCAAACACAACAAGTAATTGCTTGTAATAGCGTACTTACAACCCCTGGGACCAATATAAGTCTCCACTAATATTTAATACCAAGGTCTTTTTTTCTTCTTGCCAAGTGTTAGACTCATATTCTGGGTATTTTCTACTCTTTTCTTTAAAAATGTGAATATATTTTGAAAATAAGCTTGTTTTTATTCTTTCAAGATCATTCCTCTATTATTATATTTAATAATAATATTACTATTAATATTCTTTCTGGTGGTAGTGGGCCTCATGCTTGTTGAGCAAGCATTCTACCACTTGGACCATGCTTCCAGGCATTTTTGCCTTGTTTTTCAGATAAGATCTCACACATTTTGTATGGAGATCTAATGATCTGGGACTGTGATCTTTCTCCTTCCATTTTTTTGCAATAGCTGGGACCACAGGCAGGAGCCACTGTTTCTGACTTGCTTATTGAGATAAAGTCTTGCTAACTTCTTTTTTACCCTGTTTGGCATTGACCTACAATCCTCCCATCTGTGGTTACCAAGTAGCTGGGCTTATAGGTGCATACCACTTAATACCTGGTCCTCATTTCTTTAATAACACAAATTTGTCAATACAGATCCTAGTAAAATGGCATTAGAGCTTATTTAGGAAGACATTTTGTTACTAGTCTATGACTACTGACATTTGAGAGATTTGAAACTTTTCTAAATAAGGAAAATCAATTCCAGATATACTGGCTCTACTGAGTGAAAACACAAATAGTATATAATTGGTACAAAATACATAAGAAAATGTTTTAAGTCATTCACTGAATAGGAAAACCACTATTGAGTCATAAAGTCACAATGCTTGATGCCAGACTATCTGTGTTATTTCAAGAAAAAAAAAGTAGAATTATTTCCATCTTTATATAAAGTTAAAGAAACTGAAGCTGAATGACATTGGAACATAGCGAGGCTTTTATAGCTGGAAAGTGACTGAGCTGAGATTTGAACATAGGTTCTGATTACAACACCCATTTTCTTTCTGCTATAGTATGCGGACTCCTGAATTTTTCAGACTTTGTCCTTCTGTTTAAGGCAAAAGATCCAAAAAGAGATTCCATTATATGAAATAATGAAATTGGTCAGTATCTTAAATTGAACAAAGGAAAATGTAGTATAGTAGAAAGACAGAAATGAGAGTGAAGAGACCTGTCCACCGTGTGCTCTCACTAGCAGCCTCTGAGTAAGTCAGACATAATCACATCACCTTAAAAAAAGTGCTCTGCAGGATGGTTATAATTAGCAACATTACTGATAATAACAAGCGGGGCTAGGACTGTCAGGATGCCATTTCCCCTTCCATGTAGGAGGATGATGTTAAGGGAGCTTCCCTATGGAAGATGTTCCATTTTCATATTCTAAGAATTGAACCTTTTGTTGACATTACAAATGAAATAGTGACTGTGATGACTTTGTCATTTTGATGCTCCTCTATAAGAATTAAAATGAGACTTCCAATGCTATTCGTGTGAGTTATCTTTTTTCACTTGTTTCTTTTATTTGTACCCAAAATAATACACTCTCATGGGACATGATAACAATGTGGTTTCTTGGCAGTTCTCCAAATTCTCCTGTTATTGTGCAGATCCACTGTTGGTCACTGCTTGCACGGCCAGGGGCATGGAAATAAAGAAAAATGTATAAGACATTCAACAATTTCTTTATGCTAGGAACAGTGAATTTCTCAAATAGCCATTATGTGTTTTATCAGTAATTTCATAACACATATGGCCCTTCATGTAAACCATGATATTATCTATTCACTTTATACTTTATGAATAAGGCTATAGAAATAATCTTTGGCAATCTTCATTGTTAAATATTAATTTCTGTAATATATAAATGGAGTAAAATATACTTTTTTTCATTTGACTTGTATACTGTCAAAAGAAGAATCATTGGTTAAAAATTAAATTGGTGAATCTAAATAAAATTTAGATTGGTAGAGAACATTTATCACTTTACTCTCAGACGGCTTACTAGTGTAGAAACATGGAATTAGAGTGAAAGCACAAATGAAAGTATTGTTTTCATGTTTGCACTGCGGCATGAAGTAGTCATCTTGTATGCTTCTGTAGCCTTGATTCCATATCTGTCTTAATTGTGGTAGCTCCCAGATGTCAATTTATATTAAAATAGTCACAGAAACAAAAAGAAGACCAAACAAAAACAAAAACTAAATCTGTATGATTAAATTGATGGTTGTTATTTATTCATGATATCCCTAATACTTTTATAAAATATCATGACCATATTTAAAGGACTACAGATTCGAATTAATTCACCTTCTGAAAGCAGTTTTTTTTTTTTTTTAACACTTCTGTGGAAAACAACCTATTAATTCGTCACAATTTTATTCTAACTTGGTAACATCAAATCTTTTTTTTTTTTTAAGCTCTTCTCACAGACAGTTTCATCATCTTATCATTTTTGGCACAAAACAATCTATGTTTCATTCAGTTTACAAAGAAGATGGATTTGTCTGATGTAAATAAAAGACTGGAAAAACTCTCGGCCTTGGATTATAAGGTACAGCTCTCAATGTATATAGTTATATTACTAATTAAGATATACTGGAGTATCATATGAGTTACCGTTATAACTGTTATTCTTGAACACATCTGGATTTCAGAAAACTGAATTAATTACAGGATTAAGGTTGATTTACTACGGTGGCCATCCTAAGTTTTCATTTTTACTATTCAGTTATAACAGGGACATATTTGGAGCAATTTTTATAGTAGTTATGAAAGTCAAAGACAGGTAACAGAGGCAAATAGCATTTTTCAATTTTTTTTTTTTTGCCAATTGTAGAAAACCATTCTCATTTCCCATTAGGAGCCCTGATTTCCACTTCACAAGAATCAAAAGAAGGAAGAAGGCTCTTTCAAAAAAAGTGCAATAAACAAAGAGTGGGGAAATCCCACCCCTATTCCCAGCTATAAATGGTGAAAATGCAAAAAAAGAAATTTCTTTTAGATGTATGTCTTCCTTCACTAACTCCAGGTAATTTGTTTCCTTGTATCAGGCAGGGACTTTACATCTGTTAAGGCAGGATTTTAATTTAAAATGATGTGTTTAAATTTTGCCACATTACATTTTAACTGCTAGGAAGGCATATTCTCTGCTAGGATGAGTATCTAATACATTTTCCAGGCTGTTTCAGTTCAAGGCCTCCTTTCAGCAATGACTTGTGTTTGCAAGATTGATCCAGCCTCTGTGACGTGGATTTGAGACAGTTCACTGTTCACTGGGAACAGAGCTGATATACAGCTTTCTTAAAAAAGATGCACACTTATGCCATACCTAGAGTTTATATAGCAAGGGCAAAGATTTTTTAGACATCAGCTTGCTGGTTTGTAATTTGTGTGTGGTTTTAGAAGACTAGTATTTAACCTAACTTTGTGCACTTTGGGATCATTTCTTATGACTGAGGTGGTAGCAGGGAGGATTTCATTTTGTTTACTAGAAGCATCTATTCTTATAAAAAGGGTTTTAAAATGGAATGAAATGCATGAAATAGGTTTCCAATGTGGTAATAAGCTATAGTGTGGTTTTCTTTATAGCTTTGTGGGGCTCATCTATGAAACTTGATATAATATTGACTTCCTTTAATTGGAAATATGTAATATATGTGTTATACTTAATTACCAAAACAATTTTTCCTTTAGCATTCCAAATGGCTAACTGCAGATTCACTTGAAACATTATTTAGCTGCTAAAATTGGTCCCTAAAATGCAACATTATGCATTAACCCATGTCATTTAGAATAAGCATGGTTAGTGCTGTTATAAAAACCATGTATGATTAGTTCCTCCATCTTAGGTGTGAAGAATAGCTTGGTAAAGTCTCCTGAACTGAAGGATAGTAGCTACCTGTTAGTGAGAGCAGAGAAAATACCAGCGTGTCAGTTTTTCTTATGAAAACAGAAGGAAAACAGAGCTAGCATTTGAGTCCTTGCATACCTTAAATAAGAGAATTAACTCTATTATTTCTTCTACCTCTGGATTTGAAAAATTAGGAGTGTGAGCCTTCCACCTCACTTCCATACATTACAGAATTAATTTGTTTCCTTTTGGAAAGCCTATGGATTTCATTTCCTGTTTCAATATTTAAAATATAGATATATGATAATTAGTAAAAACTGCCATTTCTTCATTGGAAGGATATTTTAAGAAACTTACTCATTTTCCCTGCCCTCTTAATCATCATGAGAGACTACTGATACCACTAAAACTCATAGGAAATATGAAATTTCAAATAACAACTCATTTGCATTATGTGAGAAATTAAAATGCCAATCACTCATTTTAAACTATTTTCTCATGTTGAGATTTGTAAGTACTATGCCTACTTGGCAAGTTGGACATTAAGATGTAATGTGTATATATGTGTTTTTAAAGTACTTAGCAATTCTATTATGCTATTGCTCTCTAATGAGAAGAAAGTTAAAATGATTATATTGAGGCCATAGATGTATTTTCACTTAAAATCACAAAGTACATCTGGGTTTTGTCATGGCCCATTTGGATTTTAGCACAAGGAAGTTGTATCAAATCTTATCATTCTGCTTTCTTCAGTTCCTTACCATAATTTAATTATTTCAGATTGAAATAATTTTGGTTAAGAAAATTTATCCTGAAACTGTTGACCTTTAGCAAGTTTTCCTGTCTACATTTTGAAAATGCAATTCAATTTAACAATGAAGGGATAGCTCAAGGAGTTAAATGTTTACCATGAGAGAACAACACTGGTAATTACTTTGATTTCGGTTCCTTTTGATGTGCATTCAGAGGATGAAGAGGTCAATAATATTATGGCCATGCAAATAGAAAAGGGTTCCTTTTGACCATTTTGAAAAAAAAAATAGCAGAGGATTATTAAAGCATTAACCTTGATTTTAATGGCCTTGGTTGAGTGGTGAGATCACAATTTGGATGAGCCTGATTATTTACTAAATACAATACATAAATGCAACGGGTTCTTAACACCCATTGCACTCTGGCATTATCGCATTACTGCCATCCTTTGTTGCCTTGCAGACAGGAATATGAAAGCAATCTGTCATGTAGTGAGACTGGCTCCAGAAGCATTTCTCTGATAAGAAGACCCCCTGCCCTTTGCTAGTGTCTGGTCCAGTAGGCTTAGCCATGCGCTTAATCCCCAGAAAGTGGTTCGATTATTGCTGACCAGCAATGGCAAGATAGTTTTTTTTTTCTTCCAAGCTATCAACCTTCCATTAATTCCTTAAGCAGAAATACGGTGCAATCTATATTTCCTTGGCATGTGTCACCCAGATGGTGTCGTGCTTATGTTTTCAAATAACCATGTTCCAAAATAACATAGTTTGAATAATAAATTCTACAAATCCTTCCGAAGAAAGAAAAGCATAATTCTCAGAAGCCGCATAAACTTTTACGCATGATGCTGTGGCTTATCCCTTTTATGTAGAATATATGTGTATATGTCTTATATATTCTTTGTAAGAGATATTTGCTCAAGTTGTTTTTCCTTTGATTGTTGTCAGTCATTGTTAACATGTTATGTCTTAAACAGTACTCAGACATCCTTGGTCAGCAGTACTGAACTTGTCATTTAATATAGCTGGTCTTGAAACCTATGTGTAGGTCGATGCTGTCAAGCAACCATGACTGTACATTTTGGTATTGATTGGAATTGCTATATCCAATTCCTCCCTAACTCACATTTCTTCTTTTTCCTTTCCTCTGCTAAAAATGGGGAGAATTGTGAACATATGTCTTTCTTATGTATGTGTCAAAAGAATTTGGTAAATTCTGACACCCTCTGAAGATGCATGTTTAACATGCATATTTACTTGCATGTATCTACATTTACAGATGCTTTAATTTTGTAATACTTTGAAGATTTTACATCTTTTCAAAGAAATGTTTCTCAGATGCTTTTCTTTTAATCATTAGATTTCTTATTTTGAAATACCTGGCCCAGTTAATAGGACAACGCAGCGTCATCTAGCTATCAACTGCAATCAGGATAGAGTTGTTTGTTGGTGGCCACTCGTCAATGATGATGCTTGGCCTTGGGCCCCAATTTCTTCTGAGAAGGACAAAGCCAATCTGCTTCTCCTAGGTTGTGCTCAAGGAAGACTTGAGGTAAATTTAAAATAATCATTTACATTTTAATGAAATGCAAGTAAAATTGTATTCATTTTTCTAAAGTAAATGTGTATACTTTTTCAAACCTATAATTTATGTTTTCAGCTATTCAAAAATGAAAATGGCATATAAAATGAAATCCTAAAAAGTATCATAGCTAGGGGATAACTAGAAAATTCTAGGGCTGACTGGAATAGCATAGCGATTAAGAGCACAGGCGTCCAGGTTCAGATCCTAGATCTGCTCCTATGTAGCTCTTTCTGCTTGAGCAAGTTAACTTAGCCCATGTGCTGTAGTTTCAGTAACAATCAATATTTGCATATAACAAACTCTGAATCACTCACTGTTGAATACCATTATTAATTATCATTAGCACTAGCATACTGTTTGCTCATGATTTCGTGCCTATGTCACAACTGGGTACAGTAGCTGGCACCTTTTAAGCCTAGCCCACTCAGGAGGTGGAGAGTGGGAGAATCATGGTTCAAGGAAAGCCCAGTCAAAGAAGCTAGCAAGACTCCATCTCAATAAAGAAGCTGGGCATTGTGTAGCATATGGGTCATCCTGGCTACACAAGAGGACTTATACAGAAGGAGTAAGGTCTGAGGCTGGCCCTAGGCAAAAGCATGAGACCTTACCTGAAAAATACTAAAGCAAAGGGAGCCTGACTCCCTTCCAAGCTCAAATCCTTTAGTTAAATTCTCAGTACTGTCAAGGGGACAAAAAGAAAAGACTATGTTCCCAATTATTCTTTCCAAAATTCAATCAATTAACATATATTAGTTAAATACCCATTCGCAAGCCCTTGTAGTAAACTGTCGGGGGAAGAAATTTAAAGAAGGTACAGAGCAGTGTCCTTCTCAGTCCAGAATCTTATATTTCATGGAAGCAAGGACTGATCTACAAGATGAGGACAATATCCTCACTCTAGCTATTCCCGACAATGACTTAGTCACTCATTCTTATAGACAAACTTCTGTCTTCCCTTCTTGTTAAAATTTTGCCTGGGTGAAACAGGATGTTTGGCCCTACATACTTCTGGTTTTATAAACTTTCAGGCTATCTTTATTATTTCTTTTATTTTTGAGACTCATAACCCTCCGGATCCACCCTCTCAAGTGCTGAGAGTACAGATGTATATACCATACTCTGCTTCAGCCTGTCTTTTAAGACTGAAGAATCCAAATATATTATGTATGATATGTTTGTCCATCAGTTTTCCTCTCTATCTGCTATAGATTTCATTTCTTTTCTTTTGGAGCTCTTCTAGTTCTGCTGCAATGACTTTTATGTTATGATTTAGGTCTAGGTTTTGTATATTTCCTCTTCATGTCCACCATTTTAGTAATCTTAGTTCTAGAAACTAATTAAATAAATGATTTTTTTAATCAAAATCATTAATGCAATTAAGCTAATTAGAAATCTTAAGTGTTCAGATATATAATCAAAGTAAAAATAAGTAAATCAGCCTTTGATTACACATGAACTAATTACCTTTAATCAAATTGAGTGCATTAATCTGAAAGCTGGATTTCCTAAAAGAGTATACAGAAGGTTTACATACCATCTAGATGGTGTCATCTAGATCATACTTCCAATTGAACTAACTGGGTCTGCCTGTTGATTATACCATAGACTATGTGATTCACGTTTACTCCCTGTAAGCTAATGCCTGCTTCTAGATAATTCTGTGCTCTGGCTTTGAATTTTAGGTTTTTGTTTGTTTGTTTGCTTTTAAAAAACAATAGATATAGACAAGAGTGGTCCTTCCCAGGTCCCTGTCCAGTCTGAAAGGTGCATATCTTGATTTAGTCATTGCCTGCTTAAATATTTTCATTAGAGACTGAAACCAAACTCAACCTTACCTCTGAAAAACTCACAGTAATTGTCTTTGACCAACCTTTATTTACAGTATTACTGTCTTACATAAACCTGTGCCCCGGCCAAATGGATCTGATCTACTCATTGCCTCATTATTTCCCATTTTCTTCAAGTCATGCTAACAGTGTTTCTGCCTGAAACAGGCATGCCATTCAGCAGTTATGGAGCCTGCCATGAGTAAGCACTGTATTTCATACCATGAGATTGAATGAGGAACTGTCCTGCCTGCAAGAATATTAGTGTCTACTGTTGAGAGGCAAATACGACCATGTGTAAGGAAGTGTATAAAAGTGTGAACGGTGCTGTGGATAGAATATGTAAACTGTAATAGAATTCATAGAGAGTGGTTGATTCTAGAGAGATGGTAAGGAAGGAGGATTAAAGAAAGCTTTACAATGTGCTGGAATGAGATTGGTATACAATTTTATTTACCTTACTTATCCTTTAGGTTTAATATCAATGTTGTACTATCCCTGTGGAGAGATTTGCTAGCTTTTTCTTCTTTTTCTTTCTGTAATAGTACAAAAGAGAATTATCTGATACTTGAAATTTTAGTGAAACTTGCTCTATTAAATTACTGAGAAGGATAGACTTACTTTTAACTACTGATTTTATTTTTAAAGAATCTGTTTAGGGGTAGATTCTAATTTTTTGGATTCTTTTCTATAAGTTGTACCTTTATAAAATTATCTACTTTATGTAACTATTTGAGCTTTTCATAAAGTTGTAAACAGTATTTATATACGTCTTCTTGGATGTATGTGCTGTGAGGATTAAATCCAGGGCCTCTCCCAGACTAGGCTAGTGCTCCACCAGTGAGGCACACTCTCACTAGGCAGTTTTTAATTCATTACTGTTGTCAAGGTGATGTACAGAGGGGTTACAGTTACATATGTAAGGTAGTGAGTAAACTTCTTGTCAAAATTATTACTCCCTCCCTCATTTTTCTCCAACTTTCTCTCTTCCCAATCCCTCCCCCCCTCAAATTGTACAGTTAATTTTCAACATATTGTCTTTGAGTATTGCTGTTGCATTTGTTTGCCCTTTGTATTTGGTCTTACTATTTTGTTTTCCTTCCCTTCCCTAATTCAAACATATATACAAGACCTAGGGTACAAAAAGCAAATACAGTGACAACAGGGGATAAATCATAGGGGGGAAAGCACAAAAGAAAAAAGAAGTCACATAGTACATTAAAAACTACAACAACAAAGAAAAACCTCTTGTTTCCATATCTTAGAGTTCATTTTTCTTTTTACTGTGCATAGTTCATCTTCTTGGCAAGAGCTTTGTCCTTGGATTTGGCTTTTCCAGTTATTCTATTGAAATTAACCTATTGGAAATATTCTTGCAAGTTTTGTTTTCAAAAATTCAAGTGAATATTGATACGTATTAAGACAAATGGTTTTTTGGAAGAAACAAATAAATAATTGTTCCACTTTTGTGCATATGAAGGCTTAATCTTTAATCATGAAGTATAAATTTTTTTTGAAAACAGAGTATGATATACTTAAAACCACCAATCTACTGAAGTGTATGCTCAAGTATATCTATCTATTTATTTATTTGCCACTAGCAACCCGGGTACTCCTTGAACTAATTATCAGAATAATGGTACAATATGCTTTTTTTTTTTTTTTTTTCTGGTTCCGGGGCTTGAACTCTGAGTCTAGGCACTGTCCCTGAGCTGCTTTTGCTCAAAGAGAGCAGTCTCCCACTTGAGCCACAGTGCCACTTTCAGCTTTGGAGGTAAGAGTCTATTCCTGATCAGGCTTTGAATCATCACCCTCAGATCTCAGCCTCCTGAGTAGCTAGGATTACAGGCGTGAGCCACCAGCTCCCAGCTACAATATGCTTACTAAAATTCAAATGTAAACAAACAAACAAACAAAAAAGGAAGTCACAGCAGTCTTGTAGAGGAGAAATTTAATCTTTACATCTGTTAAGCTATAATTTTGGGAAGAACTTCCTTTCTGGATTCAGTCCAAAAAGATAATAAGGTGTTATTTGGACAATGTCAGGATCCTAGAGCAGTCCTTGCTAGTCTTGGCTACGTGTTACAATTACAATCACCTGCAAAGCTTTTGGGAAGGGGCCCACCCAGACCAGTTCCTTTAGAATCTCTGGACCGGAGGGGATATCTGGAATCTTTCACAGTTTCCCTAGGTGATTCTCCTGTGCATTCAAAGTTGAGAACTACTGCAAACATTAAAAAAAAGATTAAACCCATCTTTTTTACATAACAGACCATGGAAAGGATAAAGTCCACACACTGAAGCAAATGAGAGTTTAACAGTAGATTCTAAGTAGAAAATTGGCTTACCAAGCAGCTAAAAAAAGAAAAGAAAACAAAGGAAACATAGAAGTAAGCTTTCTGTGACTGAATTATCTCTCTTTCAGAGGAGAAACACTTTTTAATTTATTTTATGGATATTAGAAAACCGTAGGTCTAATTTCACACTACACAGCTCTACACAACAGTCCATATCTTAATTAGAAGCACAGAGCAAAGGGAGTTATGTAGTCTAAGGAAAAAAATTCTTTTGAAAAATATATGATAGTGAAATAAAAGCAAGTTTTTATCAGTGAATTCATTAAAAAGTATATATTAACAGTGTGTGTGGGTTATTGTATGTAATGTGGTTGTTTTCATTTAAATTTTTGTATATTCTTTGCATTTGCTTTTGAAAAGTCCTTGCCATCTTTGTGGGACTACCTTATTTACTCACTTTGACAATAGTGTGATGACAACAACTTATGCCCTTACTTTTTTTTTTTAATGCCCTTACTTTTATACTTAAGAGGTATTTTTAACTTTTAAGATGTAAGGGTCTGCTAGTGCCTATGGCTTTTCTTACTCACAAAAAGCCACCTGAATTTTTTTTTTTTTTCTTTCTGTCGGTCATGGAGCTTGAATTCTGGGCTTGGGCACTGTCCCTGAACTCTTCAGCTCAAGGCTAGCACTCTACTGCTTGAGCCACAGTGCCACTTCCGGTTTTCTAGTGGTTTATTGGAGAGAAGAGTCTCACTGACTTTCCTGTCTGGGCTGGCTTTGAACCGCGATCCTCAGATCTCAGCCTCCTGAGTTGCTAGAATTACAGGCGTGAGCCACCGGC